TTTTTAGACCTTTCAGGAACTACATTTCCCAGATTCACTTTCTCTGTGATGTTTTCAGAATTTATTTTATTCATCTATACCGTAATTTTTCTTTCAAAAAGCATGCAAAATTATTTTCCATAACTTTATTTTAGTACTCTCTTTGGGAAAGATCAATTTCTCCTGAAATGCAACTGTCGTCATGAGTTATGTGCTTGCATCCTTCTGTTTAAGGGTGACATTTACACAAGCCTTATGAAGATCATTCAAAAGGCTGCTATCTGGAGGCAACACCGTTGAACTGCAGACATTTGCTTTTAGGCGCTTGAGAGAATTTGACTGTATTTTTCGCTTCTAAAATTAATGAGTGCATGCTATGTACTAGACATTCTACTAATCCTGGAGATACAGGAATGAGAAATGCATTGTCCTCGTTCTCATGGGGCTCCCAGGCTAGCAGGCACAAGGAAGGGTGTGTGCTATTTACTGAATTAACAGTAAGGAGCTCTAGCTAAGCAAGCGGGTTGGGCCAATATCAAGAAATGCTTCTCAGCGGGGTGTGGTGGCTCACACCTGTAATCCTAGCACTCTGGGAGGCTGAAGCGGGCAGATTGCTAAAGGTCGGGAGTTTGAGACCAGCCTGAGCAAGAGCGAGACCCCGTCTCTATTAAAAATAGAAAGAAATTAATTGGCCAACTAAAAATATATAGAAAAAATTAGCCGGGCATGGTGGCACATGCCTGTAGTCCCAGCTACTCGGGAGGCTGAGGCAGAAGGATTGCTTGAGCCCAGGAGTCTGAGGTTGCTGTGAGCTAGGCTGACGCCATGGCACTCTAGCCTGGACAACAGAGTGAGACTCTGTCTCAAGAAAAAAAATAAAATAAAAAGACCAAAAAAAAGAAAAAAAAAAGGAAATGCTTCTGAAAAGTGGCAGTGTTGGAGGTGAGTAAGAAAAAGCTAAACAGATGAGGGGAGTGGAGAAGTTTCTGGATTAAGGTACTAGGCGGGGCAGAGTGACAGAGGTGTGAGAAAGCATGTCCTGCTCTAGGAACTACAAATAGTCCATATACCTTGCTTAAAGTGATTAAACAAAAAAGGCGAGGACATTCAATGTGCAAATACTTTGACTAACATATAGAATGATTAATCAGAGTTACTTTAGATAGCCTATCATGGCCCTGCTCACCTCGGTGGTGATAAAGGTTCTCCTAGGCTTGGAAAGTTGGCTTATCAGAAGATCCTTATGGAAACAAATACTAGGCTCTCTGCCTCAAGGATTGGGCCACGGGGGTGTCTCAACAGCACACCAACTCCCATGAGGATTCCCAAGGGCTGTCCCAATGTCATCTCAAAACATTGGACTGGCCATTGCACAGCAAAAAATATTTTCACTGGTTCTCAATTTTCCACCAAGTTAGGTCCAACCTCCTACTGTGATCCAAGACCTCTATTGTCTGCCTCTCAACACATCCTTCCAGAGTGAAATCAATAGAATTTGGTGAGTGAGAATAAGGTCTTTGGAGTTAGGCAGTCCTGGGGTTGAATTTTAACTCTGGTGTTCACTTAAGCTCTGACATAAAAATGATGATTTTCCTTAGATTTAGTGTTTTCATCTACAACATGCACGTAAATTATGTCTCATAGTGTTGTTTTGAGAATTCAATAGGATATTTTGGGTAATTGGTACAGTAACCATCCTTTAATAATGGCTAGCTATATGGTAATTTTATAATTCCTATTTTGCATTTGTTTTTTTATTATAATTTAATAATTTGACTACTTAATAGTCTTTAATTTGACTACTTAATAGTCACTGGATATATCCTGTGTTTTGGCATTTATACTTTTGTAATTCCTGTCAAATAAAATTCTAGTTAGCCCAGCCCAGACTTTACCATCTCAAGAAGCCTTCCTCAATTCCCCAGATCGAAATTAATTATTCTTTCATTGTTTCTACAGAAATTGGTACGTCTGGTATAGAAACATTAGCAATAATTTTGTTGAATTTAAATCCAGCAGGAAGGTTGGGTGCGGTGGCTCATTGCCTGTAATACTAGCACTGTGGGAGGCTGGAGTGGGAGGATTGCTTGAGGTCAGGAGTTCAAGACCAGCCTGAATAAGGGTGAGACCCTATCTATACTAAAAATAGAAAAAAAAAAAATTAGACAGGCAACTAAAAATAGAAAAAATTAGCCAGGTGTGGTGTCCTGTAGTCCCAGCTACTTGGGAGGCTATGGCAGGAGGATGGCTTGAACCCAGGAGTTTGAGGTTGCTGTGAGCTAGGCTGATGACACGGCACTCTAGCCCAGGCAACAGAGTGAGACTCTGTCTCAAAAATAAATAAATAAGTAAATAAAAATAAATCCAGTGGGAAGAGTCAGTATCTAATTCTCTAATTATAATGTCACTCTAGAACAATTTCTGGAGTTTATTCAATTGATTTGATATTTTATAATGAATATTTACTAATAAAATAGGGACTCTATTGATAAATTCTACCATTAGTAAACACATAAATTATTCTGAATTTCAATTTACAAATGAGTTCATGCCCCTGTATTGTGCACATAATGATAAAGATGAGAATCATCTAGAAACATGATGGAAAAAGATTTGTTGAATGAGTGTCTGTGTTTATGTGTAGAATACTACATGTACCAAAGAGAAGATAAAACTTTTTTTCTTATCATATATTTTTAATTGAAGAAATATACAAAACATTATTACATTTAGTAATACATTGCTATCAGAAATATCTAGTCCAAAAGAGGAAATTTTTTCAAAAATAACTTTTTTTTCTTGAACAAGTTCATACTCTGTGTTCTTAATTGTTTTCTTTTCCCTTTACCTGGTAAGACTTTTCCAAGAGAACCCATTTATTCACTTAATAAGGTAACACCCTCAAGTAATTCCCCAGGGTAGGAATATGACTCAAACTAGATGCTATTATATTTATTTATTAAATCTCATTTTCCAGGCTTTGGGGTTCATTTGTTCAAACCTTAGCATAAACACTATATCATCTACTTCTTAGGCAAATCGATACCCTAACTCTTAAACAGTGAAGGAGAATCTCGTTTATGTTTGAGATCATGTTTAAAGATCAGCCACTTTCAGAATGTGAGTCACATATGAATGACACTGGCTATCCCGCCATGGCAGAAGAGTTCCTCTTCCCTGATAATGCTAAGAGAAAATGAAATCGTTCTGATCTTGTTTGTACAGATAGTATGAAGGGAGTCATCTCTTAGAGGTAGATCTCCTCTTTTGGAAGCACATTTAAGTCTTGGTGTATTGATAAAGAGATAGAAGAAAAAGTTCACAGGAATATTTTCTTACCCTTCTCACAAATGGTTTCACCTCCTTTTAAAATTTTAATCTGTTAGTTAAATGCTTAGTATTGTTTTATTCTTCATTTCTTAAATCTCAGTACTTTCAGTTTTAACTCCACTAACACTTTACATTTGATTATTCATCAATTGTTTCATAATTCTTAGAATTATTGGTCTGATAGAATCCAAGCTTTGAGAGAGAAATGTCAATGTCAGGATATGCCACAGAATTGAGTGACTACCAGATGCTATGTGGCCGGTTGTTGCTTGAGTGTTAAATGACTTAGGAACCAATGCTCCTTAGCGACCCCATGGACTCCATCAATTATAGAGTAGTAAAACTTAGCAGAAGCTTTGATGTGAACAATCAAAACAAGGAATGACTATAACACTTGCCAGTATAGGTAATTTGGAAAATATTTGAAAATATGTAAATAACCTTCTAGCATTACTAAGTTTTAGACATTCTGCACTTAAAATTCATAAAAGCTATTTTTTTGAGAGACACTTTTTCTTCCAATTAGGAAATAGCAAAGACCTTGCAATAGGCAAAATTACATCCTTTTCATATCTGATAAAGTTACAGTTTTGAAAAGCATACTGACCAGGGTATCCGAGCAATGAGTTCAAGGTTTTGTACCCCAACTAGCTGATTGTGATCATTTAACCTCTCTATTTCTAGATTCCTTGTTTATAAAATGAGAGTATTGGGCAAGAAATTGTGTGAGATGCTTCAAATTCTACAATAGTTTTATTCAGAAAGGAACAAAAAATAAGCTAGGAGCACTATAATTATTTTCTTTCACAAGAAATAAGCCCTGAAAATAAGTTTATTCCATTTACACTATCTCATTAGTCACATGATAGAGTTACTATTCTATACTATACATATTTTACAGAATTAAATAAAATTACCTTGCTAGAATTTCTTTTTCTCAAGCCAGCTTTGTGCCTACTAAAAGCAAGCAGTCTATGTGTTTCCATTTTATTCATTCAACATAAATAGTAGTGTTGGAAAGAGAAACGCAACTTGGTAATGGACTTAAGTATTTTTTAATTATTCTTGGTAGGAACTTAGAGCTGTATCTCAGAGTTTTGTTTTGAGTTTAGAAATGAATTAAAAGCTCTATGAAGGCAGAAATCATGTCTCTTTTTTACTTTCATATTCATAGAGCCAAGACTAGCACTCAACACCTACTGGCTTGTAAGTAAATATCGTTGAATATTTACATATTTATGGACATGCTTTTGGAGAATATCTGGTTGCTATATGAAAGCTCTATGATTTGAATGAAGGAAATCGATTAAATTATATTTCATATTTTTTTCTGACATAATTAGCAAGAGTAGGAAAATAATTCCCTGTAAGGGGGAAAACTCTTCCCCTAAGAACTATTTCTACTGTAGGGTTGTCCTAAATTTTTTTTTTTTTTTGCTATTCATAATTTATAGCTAAAGATATAAATCAATAAAGTGCAATCAAGATTTATCTATCTATATATTTCCTTTTGATGAACAATTTCTCGTGATGCATTCAATTGGCAAATGCTTCTCTTATTATATTAAGCATGCCCTGTTGCTTAATATTCCATATCTTGAGAAATCATTTTAAGAGACAAATGATTTCAGTTATCTATTGACAGACACTCCATATTCTGTCTCACTGTCCTTTCAAAAATGTACATCTCATTCACTTTCTCAAGTAAAAAAATTTAATACAAATATTCCTCTAAAGAGAAATGTGGCTAGCAGATACAGAGGAGACTTCTTTTGTAACTTCCAAGAACAAGGGCATTTTGGTGTAAAAGATTGGTTCTACAGGCCTCAAGACCTGTGGGATTTGCAATGAGTTATGTCTTAGAAGACAGTATCAAAGGATGCAATATGTTTTCTTCAAGTTTTTGGGCACATTATTTAAAGTTAGGAAGAATTAAAAAGGCTTATCTAAAGTCCTTAGCCATATGTATCCTCAAAAAGATGTAATCAAAGAGTGGCATCGAACTTAGAATATTTGTCGACTGTTAAAATGATATAGTACATTACGTATCTTTGGTGCATATATTGGTGATTACAAGATGCAAGATCTCCATATAGAATATGTATAAAGCACTTACTGTTGGGAGTAATGTATGTTACTGTATCGTGTTATCCTGTGTCGAGATGTCATTGGGGATACAGAGCCCATGGTTTGGCCTGTGGGGACATCTGGACTCGCCACTCGTGACACTTGAATTTCTGGCCCTACCAAAATACCGCCACTCATCACAGGCCCTATACAACCCTCAGTCATGCTACTATTGCTCATGTCAGGCACACCAGGACTAGCCAGTATTCTCTCAGCATAGATTACATTGTGTGTGTTGGCTAACTCAGCAGGTACACAAATATTCCCTTGAATGTCATAGACAGGTGCCATCACTGTTTCGGTTACTATAATATTGGGTGGAAGCTGAGGATCAAAAACAATTGTAGTGGGTTGCACACATGGATCAGCAGTAGTGTAAGTCTCAGTCACTATAATATCCCCATGAATCATGGGTTCAGGTGTTGCCATTTCTGCTTGGAATTCAGCTTCTGAGGGAGTCATGCCTGAAGATTCACTGACAAAGTAATTAGGTCCCAGCAAAGGGAGGTCGGTGCTGATAGGGATACAGGCCTGGTGGGAAGGAAATGGTTCGATTTCTGTGTCTAAGCAGATTTCAGCCAGAGTCCTAAACTTCGGATCTAAAGTTTCCATGCAGCTTTCATCTAAGTCATCCACAATCCAACTGCAACAACCAATAGAGCCCACAGGAGACCCTGCTCCCTCGTGGTCGTAAATGAGCAAGCAGTCGTTGGCTGGTCGGCCTTCATCTTCATCTGCATAAGCATATGCTTTCTAAAATTAGAAGAAAAAGGGGAATGATAAGTTTCTTTTCCCTTCAAATAATCAAGGAAGAATAATAGCAATGCTTTAAAGACTTCTTATTTAAGATTTTATAGAATGGACTGATTAGTGATATCAATCACTCATTTAAATAATTGATACTATTCATGCATATTCTGTGATAGTGTTTGTTACCTCCAATTTTAAGATGTAGTTTACAATTGCAGCAACACATCTTCAACTTTTTTTTTTTTTTTTTTTGGAGACAAAGTCTCACTTTGTTGCCCAGGCTAGAGTGCGTGCCATGGCGTCAGCCTAGCTCACAGCAACCTCAAACTCCTGGGCTCAAGCCATCCTTCTGCCTCAGCCTCCCAAGTAGCTGGGACTACAGGCAGAGCCACCATGCTCGGCTAATTTTTCTATATATAGTTGGCCAATTATTCTTTTTATTTTTATAATAGAGATGGGGTCTCGCTCTTGCTCAGGCTGGTTTCAAACTCCTGACCTTGAGCAATCTGCCGCCTTGGCCTCCCAGTGGCTAGATTACAGGCGTGAGCCACTGCACCCGGCCTCACTAAAGAACAGTAGTGAAATTCACGTATTACCATATGGGGAATAAAATAGGCTCATTGAAATAGAGACAAATGGATTGCTATTAAGCAAGAAACTTACTAAATAGGAATTCACAAGAGGATTTGTTTCTCTTCATGCTAACCTATTAGGCCAACCCAATCCCTATGGGTTTTATTCTTTGGAATACTCCTATACCCATGATCCCTTTACTTTCTTGTTTTAAAAAAATGGGTACATAATAGTTGTACATATTTATGGGGTGCATGTGAATTTTGATACAAACTTACAATCTCTAATGATCAATGAGGTATCCATCACCTCAAGCTTATCATTTGTGTTAGGAACATCCCAATTCTACTCTTTTAATTATTTTAAATTATATAATAAATTATTGTTAACACAGTCACCCTACTGTGCTATTGAATACTAGATCTTATTCACCCTAACTGTATTTTTGTACCCATTAACCATCCTCGCTTTATCTTCCCTTCCCCCTATCTTCTAGCATCTGGTACCATCATTCTACTTTCTATCTCCATGATCCAATTTTTTTTACTCTCACACATGAGTGAGAGCATGCAATATCTGTCTTTCATTGCCTGGCTTATTCCACTTAACATAATGTTCTTCAGTTCCATCCATGTTATTGTAAATGACAGGATTTCATTCCTTTTTATGGCCGAATAATATTCCATTACGTATATATGCAATGTTTTCTTTATCCATGTCCACATTAGTGGGCACTTAGGTCGGTTCCATATCTTGGCTGTTGTGAATACGATAAACATGGGAGTGCAGATATCTCTTCAATATACTGATGTCCTTTCTTTTGGATATATACCCAGGAGTGTGACCGCTGGGTCCCTTTTCTTAGTGAGGATACTTAGTGGAGCCCTGGACTGAGAATAGGAGACTCGCTTCTACGTCTTGATCCATCACAAGTTGTGGTGATTATGTTCCTGAGTTTTAAGTCCCTTTGTTCCAACTCTATCTTTTAATTTATTTATATTTTCCTTTTCATTGGAGCCGCCTGGAGAACATGAGGGACATCAAAAATAGAGGTCATAATGCACACTTTTTTTCTCCATGAGTATTCTCTCACTTTACTGTTGCTATGAGAAACAAGGTAAGACATCAGAAAAAATAGAAATGGAAAAATGGACAAGGGGAGGGAAATATGAGAAATGTAGCCTTTTTCACAGGGTTAAGATATGTCTGCACGGCCGGCGCGGTGGCTCACGCCTGTAATCCTAACACTCTGGGAGCGAGGCGGGTGGATTGTTCGAGGTCAGGAGTTCGAAACCAGCCTGAGCGAGACCCGTCTCTACTATAAATAGAAAGAAATTAATTGGCCACTAATATATATAGAAAAAATTAGCTGGGCATGGTGGTGCATGCCTGTAGTCCCAGCTACTCGGGAGGCTGAGGCAGCAGGATCGTTGAGCCCAGGAGTTTGAGGTTGCTGTGAGCTAGGCTGATGCCACGGCACTCACTCTAGCCTGGGCAACAAAGTGAGACTCTGTCTCAAAAATAAAAAAAGATATGTTTGACAAGTGAATATGAAATACTGCTGCAAAATTGGCTTTCTGTGTTTTAAGGGAGAAGTGAATATTTTTTTTTTTAAATGGAAAATACTCTTTTTTTAAATTTCGGCATATTATGGGGGTACAGATTTTAAGGTTCAATAAATGCCCATTCCCCCTTCCCCCAAAAGTCTGAGTCTCCATCATGACCATCCCCAGATGGTGCACATTTCACTCATTATGTTATGTTATATCCGCCCCCTCCCTCCCACCTGCCATAGTAGGTGAACTATTTTATAGGATTGGGTTCAAAATAATATGAATTATTATTCTGAATATATTATCAGATAATATATATATTATATATAATAATATATAATATAATTATTCTGAATAATTATTCTAATATATTTCAGAAGGGCAGACTGCCATTATCACGATCATTATTACTCAGTCTCAAGACCACGTTGAGTGTGACTGTGAGGATTTACCTCCGAGAAGTAGCTGTCTAGGAAAGCCATGTTGACCCCGGTGTCCGCATACTCCCGCAGGGTTCCCATGGTGGAGCTCCTCTTCCTCACGGCTCCTGTGGCGCCTCCGGCCACGAGGCCGGTGGCTGTCCCGAGAGCTGTGTTGAGTTCCACTCCTGACACACCCCCTTCCACCGTGCCTCCGCCCGCGTAGGTGTTGTTGTAGATTTCTGAAAAGAGAGGGTGTTCCCGTACTGGGGCTGGAATGGTCTGCACTCCGCATGCATCTAAAACATTGCCCGTGCTATCTGCTGGTACCACCGCCACCACCGCACAACAAGGAGTGGGTTCTGGAAAGCTAGGTGAGGAGCGATATGAACTATACCCCTAATCTCCAGGCTTGATGATAAAACAAAATTAAGTCAATGATACAGAGGGAGTCAGCTGTCAGACGTGGCCTTCTCACATGTACACAAACTTCACCCTAGTGTAGAAATTGCCAAGAGGAGCAGGGGCTCCAGTTCCTGCGGTCACTGCCTGGGGCAAGCCACCCCAAGCCTATCTAAGAGGAGACCCACTTGGGAACCCTTTGAAGCAAGGCCAGGGGTGTGTTCGCAGAAACTAAAACTCACAGTCCTCCTTCATGCTGGCACTGGATGGAGAGCCGGCTCTCATAGGAATGTTCAGTCACCAAAGTTCTTTGCATGGCCTGGACTAAGAAATTGTCATGGAGACATTTCATGTCCGTTCCAGAGTTGGGCAACTTCTCTACTTGGGTCAAGAGTTGCCCAATGGCTGGCTATTGTTCAGTATTCTTAGATGTGAGTAGGATTGGTAAGGTAGGCGAGTGTAAGACACTGATGATGGAAAAGTTTGTGTGAATTTAAGAAAAACTCTTCAATATATTATTAGAATGCATTTGCTGCTTTTTCTTCTGTTCTTTTTTTTTAACAGCTTGTATCATAAATAATCACTACAGTAGCATGTACTCTGTGCCAGGCACTATTCTAATATATATTTTGTGATATATGTGTGTATATATACACACACACATATGTTTTTATATCATATACATACATATGGATATATACATTATATGTAATATATGTACATATATGTGTGTGTATATATACATGTATGTATACTCATTTACTCCTCAAAGCAACTCTTTAAAGTAGGCACTATCAATTTCAAAGGTAAACTGAGGCCCGGTGAGGTTCAGTGTCTTGCCCAAGGACTTACTACTACAGGTTGAGCATCCCAAATCCGAAAATCCAACATCCAAAATGTTCCCAAATCTGGCCCATTTTGAACACTGATATGACGCTCAAAGGAAATGTTCATTGGAGCATTTCAGATTTCAAATTTTGAACCCATAATGCAAATATCCAAAATCTGGAAAAAATCCCAAATTGGAAACACTCTGGTCCCAAGTATTTCAGATAAGAGACACTCAACCTGTAGAAAGTGACAGAGCTGGGGCTCAAACCGAAGCCTTCCAGTTGCTGCATCATATTACTGCCTGTAGTTTCAGCTAGAAAAATAAAGTGGCTACTTCAAACATGCCACCTGCCCTCTGAATAGACAATCAGTCGAAGAGATTGACAAATTTTTTTCTATGAGGTGCTTTTTACATGAGGTTGGTTTGGTTGAATAATTCTGCAAATTTTAAAAAGAAAAACAGATTTTGGTGTCCACTGACCAGAGGTATCCATACGATCCTGGGTGTTTGAGGCTGTCACGGGTGCACAGATATTCGACACATCCTGAAAAGAAAGAAAAAGTTAAATTCTCTGTGTTAAACATTTAAAAATTGACATCTTTTTATTTTGGTGCAGCATGTAATTGTCAAGACATGTTCAATTTCCATTGAAACCCCACTCTTTTCCGGAAAGCGACGGTCCACTCACCCTGTCCTCGGGATGGGCCCCTTCTATTCTCCAGGTCTGCATCACTCCTTCTCCCCCCTCGGGCACAGGAGCAAAACTCGTCCCCAGGCCTTGTGGCTGTTTCCGCTTGCAGCAACACATGAGCAGCAAGAGCGGTGACACTGCCAGAGACGGTTGTAAAGAGTTAACACGAATTGCTTGATTTAGGAAGTCATTGCACCCATCATTTTTTTTTTTTTGAGTGGTGTTATATTTAGGACTTCAAAAATACACATATAAGAAAATAAAATTTTTTCCTTTAGAGGATTGAGTAAAAAATATCCAAATTTGTAAACACAAAACCACCAAATCACATAAGAACTTTAGAGCTGGAATGGAAGGAGATTGAGATCGTGTAATCCACGTTCTAGATTGACAGATTAGGAAAGTGGGGGCCAGGCTTTCCTCTAGTCCAAGACTCTTGAGGTGACTGGTGAGAGATCCAGGATTCAAACCCAGTTTTCTTACTTTCATGTACATGAGTGCATATTTATATGTGTGTATGTTTATATATCTTAACCATCTGTGTATATGTATTCGTAAACTTATGTATGTGTATGCATACCCATGCATAAATGTGACTAATTCCATGGGTATTTGTACATGCGAGGGTACATGCATCTGTGTACACATAGAACATCTCTGTGGATAAGTATGGATATGTATGTGCATATTCATATAGAAACTCATATATATATATATATGGCATATGTTACAAAGAGGATTGGATATAGTATACAGCTATGGGATCTAGAGGACTCTTCTTCAATATTACATTTACACTTAAAATAGTCAAATATTACTCACTAAACTTAATTGAGATATTTACATTTATTATTTTAAGACTTTGCCCACAAAATATAATGGAAAATTAAAGCTACCAAATGTTTCTGCAAACATAAAATTTTCTATCCTAATGGTTGCTTCAATTCTACATTATAATCCATAAATATAGACATTCCTTAATTTTGGGTCCAATGTAGTTGCTTTTTATACTTTTCTAATTCTCCATACATACATTTTACTGAGTGGGAATATCAGTGGTTGCAGAAGAGAATATCAAAGCTCCTAGACTAGCTGGAATTTCATTAGAACAGTTCATTTGGCAATTTTACCATCTGTACCATGAACAATGAAAGGTCAAGTTATACATTTCCAGAGAGCCTTCTGGAAAAGGACTCAGACTAGAACTGGGAGCCTCCAGGCCACCGTTCAACCTGTATTATGTTTCCGTGAATTTAGATGTGTGCTGGCTCATGTACCATTGTGGGCTTGAGCTCTATCTAATAGAAGCTGTATCTAATAAATAAATTTTTTTTTTAATTTTAATTTTTTAAAAAATGTTATGTTCTCATACCTTTTTCTTTAGAAGTGCTTAGACTAAATCAAATGGTTTTAGCATATGACAAACACAAGTACTATATGCATAATCTCATTTGGAGCTAATAGCAGAAGTCTTAATTTGAAGTTCCTTTGGGAATAAAAGGTTTGGGCTAAGACCTCTGCTCCCACCATCACAGCCTTCTCCCCTGAAATATATGGGCTTCTCCATTAAAAAAACAAGTGTCCTAAGGGATATTCCTTGCCTATTCCACAATCAGTTTAACAACTCTCATGCTTTCTTTGGCTGGGTCGGGAAAGGTCATGAAATTCTTAGAGCTAGTCTGGTGGAAATGCAGCTGATACTGGGTTTTTAAAAATAAAAGGCACATTAGCCTCACCAGAAGGCTTAAAAATGCATATACTTGGGTCTCATTTTGAGTAGGACCCAGGCATGAATAATTTTTAAAGACTTCCAAATAATTCTTATGTACGGCTGGGGCCGAGAATCACTGACTTAAATATTAGCTGACACATTCACTCCATTGCTCTAGAATCATATTCTGGGAAAATATCTCTAATATCATTTTGAGAATCACTCATGATCTGTGTGTATCCTTGAAAGCTAACATTATTTTAAGCAAGAAAGCCTACCCCCAAATCAGTTTTTTTTACGTCTTAAAATGATAATGTTTTAATTTGTGCTCAACCATTAAATCATGTTAATAATATAGTTTGATGAGTTTAATCTTCTTCAAGTTTAGAATCCAGTTTTTGATCTCTATGAAACCTAAGTATTGCAAGAGAACCTGCATGAAGTATCTCCCCTTTGAGGATCTGTATGTTTAAAGAAAATAGTGTAGAGAGAGGAGGACCCTTTTTTGAAATTTTTGCTTGGGGACCTTGCCATTCTTGTGACCATGGCTTCAGTTCATACACTGGTCTAGAGCCAGAGGCTAATCCCTTCTTCCAGGTTCTTCTTCTTGCTTCCTACTATGTTAGAGTGAGCAGGTCACCTGAGCTCACAAGTCCTCATTGACCCTTCCATGCCTGTGGACATTCAGTATATCATGAACATTCCTCCACGCTGGCCTTCAGCCTACCTTTTAGCTTCTACACTTCCTGAGTATGCTGTGCCTTTCCATCCCTCTCCCCTGTTTGTTTGTTACTCTCCTTTGTCCTAGGTGGCTTTTACAATATCCCCACACTCCATCCTCTTTCTAAAAAATCCTCAGCTTTCAGGACTCACCTCCAAATCCATTACCTCTGCAAAGATTTTCCTAACTTTCCCACTTTGACATAATTACTTATGCCTCTCTACACTTGGAGCACTTCGATAAAATTTCCATTATAGCATTCATTTTGTGCTGTTCTATGCTATTTATTTTTATTTTTTTGAGTCAGAGTCTCACTTTGTTGCCTAGGCTAGAGTGAGTGCCATGGCGTCAGCCTAGCTCACAGCAACCTCAAACTCCTGGGCTCAAGCCATCCTTCTGCCTCAGCCTCCCAAGTAGCTGGGACTACAGGCATGCGCCACCATGCTCGGCTAATTTTTTCTATATATATTAGTTGGCCAATTAATTTCTTTTTATTTTTATAATAGAGATGGAGTCTCGCTCTTGCTCAGGCTGGTTTCAAATTCCTGACCTTGAGCAATCTGCCCGCCTCGGCCTCCCAGTGTTAGGATTACAGGCGTGAGCCACTGCACCCGGCCTCACTAAAAGAACAGTAGTGAAATTCACGTATTACCATATGGGGAATAAAATAGGCTCATTGAAATATGAGACAAAATGGATTGCTATTTAAGCAAAGAAAACTTACTAAATAGGAATTCACAAGAGGATTTGTTTACTCTTCATGCTAACCTATTAGGCCAACCCAATCCCTATGGGGTTTTATTCTTTGGAATACTCCTATACCCATGATCCCTTTACTTTCTTGTTTTAAAAAAATGGGTACATAATAGTTGTACATATTTATGGGGTGCATGTGATATTTTGATATAAACTTACAATCTGTAATGATCAATGAGGTATCCATCACCTCAAGCTTTTATCATTTGTGTTAGGAACATCCCAATTCTACTCTTTTAATTATTTTAAATTATATAATAAATTATTGTTAACTACAGTCACCCTACTGTGCTATTGAATACTAGATCTTATTCACCCGAACTGTATTTTTGTACCCATTAACCATCCTCGCTTTATCTTCCCTTCCCCCTATCTTCCTAGCATCTGGTAACCATCATTCTACTTTCTATCTCCATGAGTCCAATTTTTTTTTACTCTCACACATGAGTGAGAGCATGCAATATCTGTCTTTCATTGCCTGGCTTATTCCACTTAACATAATGTTCTTCAGTTCCATCCATGTTATTGTAAATGACAGGATTTCATTCCTTTTTATGGCCTAATAATATTCCATTACGTATATATGCAATGTTTTCTTTATCCATGTCCACATTGGTGGACACTTGGGTCGGTTCCATATCTTGGCTGTTGTGAATACGATAAACATGGGAGTGCAGATATCTCTTTAATATACTGATGTCCTTTCTTTTGGATATATACCCAGGAGTGTGACCGCTGGGTCCCTTTTCTTAGTGAGGGATACTTAGTGGAGCACTGGACTGAGAATAGGAGACCTCACTTCTACGTCTTGATCCATCACAAGTTGTGGTGATGCTGTGTTCCTGAGTTTTAAGTCCCTTTGTTCCCAACTCTATCTTTTAATTTATTTATATTTGTCCTTTTCATTGGAGGCACTTGGAGAACATGAGGGACATCAAAAATAGAGGTAATAATGCACACTTTTTTTCTCCATGAGCATTCTCTCGCTTTACTGTTGCTATGAGAAACAAGGTAAGACATCAGAAAGAAATAGAAGATGGAAAAATGGACAAGGGGAGGGAGAATAATGAGAAATGTTAGCCTTTTTCACAGGGTTAAGATATGTCTGACAATCGGGCCGGGCGCGGTGGCTCACGCCTGTAATCCTAGCACTCTGGGAGGCCGAGGCGGGCGGATTGCTCGAGGTCAGGAGTTCGACGAAACCAGCCTGAGCGAGACCCGTCTCTACTATAAATAGAAAGAAATTAATTGCCAACTAATATATATAGAAAAAATTAGCCTGGCATGGTGGCGCATGCCTGTAGTCCCAGCTACTCGGAGGCTGAGGCAGTAGGATCGATTGAGCCCAGGAGTTTGAGGTTGCTGTGAGCTAGGCTGATGCCACGGCACTCACTCTAGCCTGGGCAACAAAGTGAAACTCTGTCTCAAAAATAAAAAAAGATATGTTTGACAAGTGAATATGAAATACTGCTGCAAATTGGCTTTCTGTGTTTTAAGGAGAAGTGAACTATTTTTTTTTTTTAAATGGAAAATACTCTTTTTTTTTATTTCGGCATATTATGGGGGTACAGATTTTAAGGTTTCAATAAATGCCCATTCCCCCTTCCCCCAAAAGTCTGAGTCTCCATCATGACCATCCCCCAGATGGTGCACATTTCACTCATTATGTATGTATATACCGCCCTCCCCCCTCCCACTGCCAATAGAAGTGAACTATTTTTATTAGGATTGGGATAGGGTTCAAAATAATATGAATTATTATTCTGAATAATATATTCAGTATATATTTCAGAAGGGCAGACTGCCATTATCACGATCATTATTACTCAGTCTCAAGACCACGTTGAGTGTGACTGTGAGGATTTACCTCCGAGAAGTAGCTGTCTAGGAAAGCCATGTTGACCCCGGTGTCCGCATACTCCCGCAGGGTTCCCATGGTGGAGCTCCTC